CAAGTAACCATCCTTTCTTCCACAGCCTAAGATTCAGTGTTAAATGTGGCATTTTATAGTGTTTTAAAACTTCAAGACATCTTCCTTCTCTCTCTTTTTCTTCCTTCAACGGGCATCTTCCCACAGAGATGTAACTGCAAATTCTCTTCAGGGAGGCAGTTTCTTTGGTTCTTGCATCCTTGGCAAATCTAGGGTTGTTTTAAGCTTTTAAGTCTTGGGTGAGGAGGATGCTACAGTTTAGGAAGTATAGAAAGGCATGGTATCCATTCCAGTTCTTCACCTGATGTGTGTAAAGCCCCTTTGATAACAAAGGTCTTGCTGCAGCATTTTGGCCACATGAGGAAGAGACGGGCAGATCACATCCAATGGGGGGAGACCCAAAGTACACAAACTAACAAACCAGTAGTAATAATTGCTATGAAAAAAAATGAAGCCAGGTAAGAGCATCAAGTTAGCTGTGAGCTCCTGTGTGCACATGCGTATTACTGCTTTATCCGTTTTTTTTTTTTGTTTTTTGTTTTTTTTTTTTGGAAAGTTCTCTCCACAGTGGGAACTTCTGGGCATAGACTTGAATTGAGTGAGAGCCAGCCATGGGGCAGTCTGGAGGAAGCTGCCCAGGTAGCATGTAGACAGCACAGCATATGTGTACAGGCCCCAAGTGGGAAGAAGCCTGGTGCTTTTTTCCTCCTGGAAATTCCAAGGACTTTGGCTAGAGCACAGTGAGCAAGAGAAAGAAGGGTGGAAAGGAAGACCGAAAGACCTTGAGGGTCCTGCTAAGGATCCTGAATTTTAATTCAATATGTAAGACATGGAAGATTTCAAGCAAGGAAATGCAAATGATCTGAATTTTGTTTTTAAGAGATAGTGATGGCTTCATTGGGAAGTACTGTGTTTAAAGCAGCCAAAGAAGGAGGAGTGACCATGTGGAGACAGTTTTAGCAGCTTAGGGATGAACTGGTAGAGGCAGTGGTGGTGGAGATAGAGGGATAGCTTTCTTGTGTGCACAGTGTTAGGCATGTCCCTGCTTAAGTAGGGAGCTGGGCCTCAGCCCAGTGTCCAATGACTTTGGCAGATGAGGTAGAGTGACAGTCAGAGCAGTATTCATATGTGGAAAGGCTTGCTCTGTTTGCAAGATGCAAGCAGTGAGCAACATTTATTGAGTACTTCACTGCATTATCCTGTCTGGCTTCCTGAGTTGGAAGCTTTGAGGGTTTGAGTACCACTTCTGGAAGAGATCAAGGATTTTAGGTCTTTCTCATATTATTTAATCACTAAGATAAAGTCTCAGGAGAATTGCTGGGTCAAAAGCATTTGCTGTTTTGGTACATCAGGATGAAATAGTTTATATCTCTATTAACAATATCCTTTCCACTGGTGTCCCTCTCTAATCTATAGCACTAGATACCAATGTAGACTATGTACTCCCTCACTTTACCATCTTGATATGGAATTCAGAATGCAGCTTACTCTAAGACAGCATTTTTAAACGAGATATGTCATGCTTTATCTGATAATATTCAAGAGAAATAAAAATGTGTAAAATGCTATGAAAAAATAGCTTCAAGATATAATAAAGTCTGCCAATGCTCATGCTAATCTGCAGAGTAACTCAATGCCAAATGCCACATACAGACCCAGACAGGAGAGTAGTGTGAATGATCAGAGCCTGTAAGTATGTTTGCTGTTGTGAAACTGATTTTATAATATGGAAACAAAACAAAACAAAACCCCACTGACCTGGAGGAAAATCAAATGCTCAAAATGCCCCACAGGCAATGCTGTCCTTTCCAGAGAAAGGCTGCTGTGGAGTCTTCCCAGGGAGTCCATTCCACATACTTAGGACCAGGTAAACTTATAGTCACCTTGATTTTTAAAATCATCTTTCACTTTTTAATATCTTCCTTTTTATTAGTGTTTATTAATTGAACAAAGGATTTTACTGGGATATTTCCGTACCTGTGTATAATGAATGCATTTTGACCAGTTTCATCCTTCTGTTATTCTTTCACTTTCTTTTACTTCTGTTCAGACTCCAGCTCATTGTGGCAGAACCCAGCACAACATCCACAACTGGCTGGGATGGTATGCAGTCAGCCAACTGGAAGTGTTGCTTGCCAGGATTTAGTGCTTCAACAGAGAGCTGGGTGTTGAAGTATCTGCCACTGGGTGAAAACAGCAAGTAAGATCCAATGGTGCTCTGATTGTGCTGTTAAAAGTCCCTGGTGTGATATCAGGTATTTAAAGTGGTTGTGTCTTTGGACAAATCAAGAGATCCTTTTGGGTCTCATTATCCTCCTGTTACATAATGGCAGAGGTAGCAGAGAGATACCTTTCTACATTGATACTTTTCCTGTGGAAAGAAAAATTGAATATTTAAGCAGTGAGGCCACTCAAATCTATGCTACACTGAACTCTAAATTTATTGATACCAGATAGCTTATTTTTATTTTTCAGATAGTATGAAAAGGACTTTTACAGTAGGAAGAATAATATCCCAAATCTTATCCATAAAAAATAAAGCAGTATGAAATATTTAAAGGAATCCATCGTAAATAATAATGTGCACAGTATTCTGTGTAACATGCTCTTTACGCTGTGTGTGAGTCCGAAATGTTCAAAATGCTGTTCTCCTGGCCTGTGACTCTTGTGCCCAGGGTCTCTTGATGTTATGCTCTAGTTGCTCTGAAACAACTGTGGAGTTCATCTATCAGCCTGGCAAAGCACAATGGTTTTATTATCAGATGCTGTCATGACCTTGGTGCCCAGTGGCCCCCAATTTTGTCCAGCACCCAAGTGTTCGTTTACACATGACTAAGCAGTATCACTTTGCTGTACTTCAATTTCCCCATTAGTTAACAGGCATAATGACTGCAAGGATGTCCAGGGCACTTTATCTTCATACACATTATGGTTGATCCCTTGTGGACATGTGTAATTATTCGTTTCTCATAGTTTTTGGAGAAAACCCTGTTTCGTTTTAGGAGTCCACAAGGACAGGTCACCTGATTTGCTCACCTCTGGCTCCCCAGAATGTCTTCCTGTGCTCATCATGTAACGTTTTGGGCATTCTTGACTGATGAATGGAAGAGCTGTTACAACACAAACACCAGAGAGGGAAAAGATGATGCCTTAACTAGTAAGGGCCAGCGTTCATTCATTCACTCACTCGTGTATTCACTTAGAAAGAAGGTTTCTGACTGGAAAATCTGTTTTCTCCCAGCCCCTAATTTGAGTTTCAGAGCCATCAGGACCAAATGCCCCGGGGTCAGGTCGTGTTTGGCTTCAGTTTGCGAAGGACAGGCACGCTTCCGTAGGCGAGAGGTGTGCACAGAAGCGGAGAATTCATTATAACCGGTTAGTCATCCGTAGAGATTGTAGACACTGCCCGTGGGCGGGGTGCACCTGGCACTCCCCTAGTGGGGTCTGTTCCTTGCGCTGCTCCCTTATAGGTGGGAGCACGACTAGCTGGAGCCCGTGGGAGTCCAGGGTCTGCCGAAACTCGGGGGTGGAAGGCGGGGGAGCTCCTGCGCTGTGGTCCTTGACCCAAAACAATTCTGAGATCAAGCCTCATATCTGGGGGTAACTTTTCCTAGGGCGTGCATGGCAAGGGGGTCAGCCTGGATCTTAGCACATACCATCCAGTGGAAGCTCGGTTCCCCACAACCCGGGGGTGCAGAGGTTGAGGGCGGGTGACTGAGCAGAACCCCAAGCCCAGGTTGCGGATAAGCTGGGCGACGCCAGGGGCGCGCGGCTCGCCGGTGTCACCCGAGTTGCGCCCGGCCGGGCGAGAATGACTCAGCCTCACTCCACTCGGTCTCAACCGCCAGCCCGCGTGAGGGCTCCACAAAGTTCCTAGTCACGCCCCAGACCTCATAACGCGGTCCTAGGGGTTCCGAAAACTGGGTTCCAGAGTGGGGGACGGTTGCGACCGAGACTGCGGGGGGTGGGGGGGCTCCGCGTTCCCAGAGCCCACACCCCTCCTCGCTCGGTCCGCCAAAAGCGCCTCCGCCAGCGCCCAGCTGCCTCGGGCCGCGGGGCCGGCGCGGGGCCCCGGGCTCAGAGGAACGCTTCTCCCTTCACGTAGCGGTCTCCGCTGGTCAGGGTGGGCTGAGCGCTGCGTTTGCTCCTCTCCCGGCCCCAACATCCTGGTCGCCAGCCCCCGCGCTGCGGTGCGGACCCCGGACCTCACTTGGCCTGTGCCGAGAGCTGTTCGCAGCCCCCGGCCGGGGGTCGGGCGCGTCGGGGGCGGCTGCACTGCAGGCTGGTACCGGAGCCCCGCGCTTGTGCGCCCGCGCCGCAGCGGCTGCAGAGCCGCCCGCGCCTTCCTCACCCGGCGCTGTGGCCCAGGAGCGGCTGTGGGCAGCCAGAACCCCGAAGCCCCCAGTTCCATCCCCACCCGCTCTGCCCCCCGAGCGACCCCCGTCCTTCGCCCACTGTTCATCTCCCCTCAGACTTCGGCCGGTTTCCCGGGAAAACTGCGGCGGCGTGGGGGATTCGCGCGCCCCCTCTAGGCTCCGCAGCCTCCGACCCAGCCCGGCCGCGGAGGCTGACCGCGCCTGCTACGAACCGCCACTGGCGGGCAAAGTGTGGGGCACCGGGTCCTCGGGCTCCCTCCAGTCCCCACCCCCCCACCCCGGCTCGGGGCGCCGGGGCCTGGGGACTGCCGGGGGCCGACTGCGGAGTTGTAAAGAACTCAGTGGCCGCAGTGGGCCGGGCGGGGCAGGGCGCGCTCCGCGGCGACCAAGGACACCGGAGTTTGCCAGTCCCCGCCCGTGAGGCGCCTCCCGCCCTCCCTGCGCGGCCCGCCGGACTCCCCCGGGCCGCCGAGGCGGGGCCGGGTGGCGGCCGCTGAGAGAGGCGCGTCTCCTTCCCTCCCTCCTTCCCTCCTCCCGCACCCGCCTTCCTCTCTCCTCCTCTCCGCCCTCCCCCCTCACCCCCGCTCCTTTTTTTCTGCTCCCCAAGTGAGCCTGGCGCTCGAGAGGCAGGCGGGGCGGCTCGGAGCGGAGCAGCATCCCCGCGCGCTCGCCCACCGCCCGCCCGGCGTAGCTGCCGCGGCCGCTCCAGTCGCCTTCGCCGCCGCCGCCGGCGCGTCGGATGGAGCCCAGCATGGCCGGGCCGGGCTCGCCGCGCCGCGCGTCCCGGGGGGCCTCGGCGCTCCTGGCCGCCGCGCTCCTCTACGCCGCGCTGGGGGACGTGGTGCGCTCCGAGCAGCAGATCCCGCTCTCTGTGTAAGTGTCTCGTGCGGCGCCGCCCGGGAAGGGGACCCCGCCGACCGCGACCCACTAAACCCAAGTTTGGGCGCCTGCAGGTGCGGCTGCACAAGACCCGCGGCGGGCATTGACCTCGCCTCTCGCACCTGCCTTCTAGGACCGCCGTCGGGAGGCGGAGGCTAGGGTGGGCTCCCTCTCGCCCCTTCTCGGGTGTTGGAGAGTGAGACCCGGAGAGGCTCACCGCAAGTGACAGCACCAAGTTTGGAGCCCGGTTTCCCGGCTTCAACTTCCACGGGCCAGGCCGGTTAATGATCTGTGCTACCTGGCCATCTCACTTCTTTCTCGGGAGGGGGGTGGGTGGGTGGATTTCTTCAGAGTAGCGTTTGTCAGGGAATGCCCATTTGGGGTGGCCCCAGTCCTTAGGCAGTTGTTCGAATACACGCGGGTGGTCTTTTTGGAAGAGTTTGAGCATTGTGAACTCTGTGACCCTCTGGACCTCCTCCCGCGCTGCGCTCTGCAGTTTGGTGCCCATAGTTTCTACCGCTGTGCTTTCTCTGCCTACCTCCGCTTTCTTTAATGTTCTATCGCCTGGCTCCTTTAGCCACAGCCCCGCGTGTGCGCTCGTGTGTGTGGACTGTGACACGAGTGTGACATTTCTTCCTGTGCCCTTTCTCCCTGTAGGGTGAAGCTGTGGGCCTCTGCTTTTGGTGGGGAGATAAAATCCATTGCTGCTAAGTATTCGGGCTCCCAGCTTCTGCAAAAGGTAAGGTTTCTGTGGTGACAGGAAGCGATGCTTTTTTTTCCCCCCAAGCACAGAAAATGGAGGCAGATTTAGTTTTTCCAAACATACGTGAGCCCCGAGCTGCATCAGTTATCAGAGAAGTCTCTGATCTCCGTTTCTTGGCATTGTACTGTGCAGTGACTTCTCCCTACCAAATGGTTATTTTTAGATGACACTTGATTCTAAGCACAAAGAAAAGCAGGATACTCACTTGCACTGTCCCGGCTGGGGCTTGGAAACAGTGTTTGTGCATGGCTCTCCTCTCAGTGTCGGTATTGCTGTTTCAGTGTGAGAGCAGATGCTCCTCCAGGAAAAAAAAAAAAAAAAAGCTAACTTCATCCAAGGGACAGAATCAGTGCCTGTTTTATGATGCTGTTCACCTTGCATTGGAGGCATGGTGTTCCGTGTATCAGAGAGAGATGCTGCACTATTGTTTGTCATCCCTGCAGTTGTACAATCCCATTATTCCCCAATCATCTAGACCCAGGGCTAGGATGCATTACATCATTACAGATAAGGAGAATGAATGTGGTTATCTTTCCACTCAGCTGCACTGCCGGGTAATAACCTATGAGAGTAGTCCACAAACTTAAGAAATTGGTTTGCGTCCATATAATTCTGGAGAGTAATGAGAATGGAGGATTGATTATTAGGCGTTTATCAGAAGCTGCATCAATTTTAATTCAAACGGGCAGCATTATGTTTAAAATTACATTGTGAGATATATGATCCTTCGTTTTCCTCTCCAAGAAATAAAGAAAAAGAATGAGCTTGGGAGAAGAGAAGGAAGTGGCTAAGAGAATTTCAAGTTAGCAAATCAACAGGATTAATCCAAATATTCTTTCAACAATAGAGGATAAGATTAGCCTTTTGGGGATAATTCTTTGGAAATGGGCACAAAAAGCTTAAACTGTTAAGTTAACTTTAAGCATTTTTAAATGTGTTTTTTGGGCCAATGTACCATATGTGTTGTGCATGCTGCCTGGTAACCAAGTACGTATTTTATTTATGGCATTCCATTTCAGAGAGTAGCATTTTGGGGGACATTATATGTAACAGTTTATAACATGCAATCCAAATATCGTAATGAAGCATCCTCCACTATGAGATGACAGGTATGCTGGTTGAGAAATAGCAGCCAGATTCCATGAAACCACTGGGAAGGTTGCTTACCTCTAACTTGGGGAAGAGTTCATTGAATTATATATAGTCAGTTGATAAAAACTTGATGCAATGACATGCCTTTATAGAAGATGATGATTTACATACCAGTGACCCTCCAAGCTTATAGGAATTACTTCTTTCCTTAGTTTTCTTTTAATCTGGTCCAGTCCCAGTCTGTACTCTGTTTTGGCTTTTTACCCACTTGTCAGATGTTTTATGCGAAGAGCTCTGGACTGTGGTATTGCCTGTGTATTTTCCCTATGCTTTGAAAGAAGAGAACATTTTGCATAACTTTAAAGAAATATTTCTCATCTGCATTTTGTAGTTGTAGTAACTCTAAACGAATCCTTTCAGAGCCTGATTTTTTTTTGTTGTGCTTACATATCTTTTATCTCACATTTGGTGGGAGCACATGAAATATATCTTTTCCTTCTGAAGTTAGAAAACATACAGACACACTCACAACTGCGCAAAACCCCATCAACCCTATTATTGGTTATTCTATAATAGCAAATTAGAAACAGCTAAAATGCTTCCCTTACCTTCTCATCAACATCCTTTCTGATATTGAATTCACTAGCCTTGCTTTGCTTTTGTCGTGTTTGCAGCTTGACAATTGTGTAATTATTTCCAGCTGTTTATGGCTTTGTTGTCATTTCTTACTGCTGCCTGGCATTTTGTAATCTGATGAGAGGGGAAGGTGAGGTGTTGCTTTGAGTTAGATTCCTAAGTAGATATCTGTTTTAGCCTTGTATTTTCATTCCTTGCTATGGGGGTCTCAAAATACCCATGTCTTTGGGTTGCTTGGCAAGGACTTTCATGAATGATAGGAAGAACATGGTAGATGATTCTAGAACCATTTTGCTCCCAAATTTTAGAGCATTCCTTTCCAAATATGATTGTATTTTTTTTTACAAGAAAATTGGTGTAGAGAGCTCAGAATATGAATGGGAAAAGATCCCAGGTGCTCTGAATGTGGCAGACATAATGTCACTTGGAAAAGCAAGATGAGTGTGGCTCTTCTGCTTAGTTTCAGGTTCCTCACTATTGGTGTGAGAAATTATTCCTCTAAATCAAAACTTTATGCATCCATCCATCACTTCACAGCATCTTTAACAATTAAGATGCTTACAGAATGAGTAGAAAGCTCGATTAGAAAAATGCATTAAGATTGAATTAACAGACCTCAAAGGTGACAATACTAGGTTCCATAAAAGACTGTAATTGCATTTTTAGAGTATGGACATTAAAGTTTGGTTTTCAGTTAAGAAAGGTATACTGTATAACACTGTATAATTTTATGCATTTTAAGTAGTTTTCTAATTGATTTTTCATGTTGTGAATCAAGGTAGTATTACAACTACCGTTCAGTTTTTGAACGGTAGTTGTAATTTTTGCACTAAGGCCTAGAGTTTTACAAAAATAGTTATTGTGAATGTAAGTTAAATAAGAATTGGTCATTTTCTTTAAGGTGTTTGGAGACTAGGGAAACTGATTTTGGTAAGGTGGTTTTATTAGGTAATATATTTTGAGGAAGCAACATTATTACTGTCACCAATGTAAATACAAACATTAGAATTATCTCCTCAATTGTTTTTGGGTTTGATACTGCTGCTCTTACTACTTTAGCTTATAATAGTAGTAGATATTTCATGTCAGACTTTTCCCTTTTTGTCTTCTTTTTGTCTTGGGCTGAGCATGGGAATAGCAATGTTAGTTACATATAAAGAGGATAATTTTTATTTAGTTTAAGTTGCAGTAATCTCTGCTTTCACAGTTTTGTGTTTTCTTAGGTATAGCAGAGGATGGTGTGGGGGTGAATTTAAGTGAATCTTGAGATGATTTTTTTCAGTCTTAGAGAACTGGTGCTCTGGAAGGAGACCTGTGTCTGTCTCCTGCTTCCTTAGCTGGCAGATGCTGTAGGGGTTTCCATTTACTTCAAGTTTTAATTAATTTTCTATTTGACAAATTCATACTAGTATTCAGCTGCCTCTATATTGCTTCGTTTCCCCCTAAGAATGCTTTGTTTGGGTTCTTTTGGGGGAGGTGTAGTTGAACAGGACTCATCGTCTTTCTGTTTGGGGATGCAGTGAGAAGCATGTTTGAACCTGTCTGTTAAACTCAGTGCTCCACACCTTTAGCAGTCACAATAAAAGGCATTAAACCTGCAGGATCCCTATCTCCTCCTTAGGGGAATTTCCATGGGAGCTGAGTTTTTCATTCTGTTTACACCTGAATTCAGGGATGAATGTTCATGGGAATGAGGGCTCCAATTACATTTTCCAGAATTGTGATTATAAACACACAGCAAAAATACAGGTAATGTGTGTCTTTGCCATTAAAGAAAAGAATTGACCAAGCATGCAGTACACTTCTTGGAATGCACTACCAAGTATTTTTGTGTTATCAACTATTTATTGAGAGTGACTTTAATACCTAAGTATATAAGCTGGATGTCTCTTTCCACAGGACAGAGTCAGCAAAGTAAAAGGTTGATTCCTTGAGCCATTTTTGTAATTATGACTTTTCATCAGCGTGGAAATCAATGCACTTTTAAATAATTAAAAAGTAGTATTCTCGAATGAGGAATTGGGTATTGGCTCTATGATTCCTGTAGGAAGCCGGACATTATAAAGGAGCCTCTATGCTGTTAAATGCTTTTGTTGAGTATACACAGTTATTTCCCATACTAAAAGATAAATACATTCAGCATCTTTTGCTGATGATCATTTAGTTCACAGCTTCACTTTCAAATTACTAGACCTTACCTCCGAAGATTATTTTTTCTAGTCTTATTTCTTGAAATGATAGTTTTTAGTCTTTTGATTGGTGTCATCAGCCCACTCTCTAGGATGTACCTTTTAGCAATATATCTCATTACTCTTGTAGATTTATACATGGCCATTTGTAATGCTTTCTTCTTCTTTTTTTGTATGGACCTCATTTTGCTCATTGTTCCAATTTCTTAGTTTTTTTTTTTAAATCTCTGTCTTAAAATTTCTTTTTATGTCTGGCACTGGTGGCTCACACTTATAATCCTAGCTACTCAAGAGGCTGAGATCTGAGGACAACGTTCGAAGCCTGGGCAAAAAAGCCTGCAAGGCTATCTCCAATTAACTACAAAAAAAAAAAGCCAGAAGTGGAGTTGTAGTTCAAGTGATAGAGCACTAATCTTGAGCAAAAGAAGCTTCGGGAGTGTCCAGGCCCTGAGTTTAAGCCCTAGGATTAGCACAAAAAAATTAGGAAACAAAAAAGGGGCTGTTTTTGTTTTAAGTTGAGACATACATCATGTTAGCAATGCAGAGCATAAATATGAGGGTCTCACTCTCCTTTGTCTACACAGTGCTGATCCAAATTGCCTTTGGAGTTGAGACTTGCAGGTTATAGGCAGAGTATATGAGCAGGCATGAGTTTCTAAAACTATGACTCAATTTGGTGTTTTTTGCTCTGGCTGAGCCTGGAAAAGAAATTAAATAGATGTTATGAAGCCTTAGCCTGTGAATTAACATCTGAGGAGGTAATTAACATTACCTCCTTTTAATGTCAATTTTATACAAGGGACATGGTGATTCATCTTATGTGATTGCAGGGAACTTTTTTTTTTTTTTTGTCAGCCATGGGGCTTGAACTCTGGGCCTAGGTGCTGTCCCTCAGCTCTTCCGCTCAAGGTGAGTGCTCTACCACTTGAGCCACAGTGCCACTTCTGGTTTTCTGGTGGTTTATTGGAGATAAGAGTCTCATGGAAGGGGAAACAAAGGAGGAGGCTACAATGTTTAATAAGAAATGTACTCATTATCTTGCCCATGTAATTGTAACCC